TCTCCTATTCTGACATGAAGTTTCTCCTCCGACTCAACTTCTTCACTCTCCTTATTCTTTTCCATCAGGTCTACAATTAAAATAAAATATAATTAAAAATAAATAAGAATAAAATACAATTATTTAATTGCCAGTAAATCATAAAAATCAGTAAGATATGTGAAGGGAAAGGGCATAAAAATGAATCATGCTGTAATAACAGAAGGTAGACAACTGCTATACAAAATTATTCATCAGCATTGCTTCCTAAATGCCTTTTCCTTTCCAAATTCATGTCAAAATTAGAAAAGCTCTAAAATAATCAATTAATTTGGGGTATTTTTTTATGTTCTATCAGCTGTCAATTTTTTTATTGTACTATATCCCTTACAAAATGGCATGAATTTCACATGATCAGAACGTTTTGGAACAGTTCCCATGTAAAATCCATGTGATCAAGTGAAACATGTAGCGTCATGTTGTCCACATGTGATTATGTGGAAAACATTAGACATTCATGTGGTTTTTCTGTAAGGGATGTGATAAATGTTTTAACATAAAATGATTTGTAAAAGTTTAATATCGATCAAGTTTGTCAAGTCAAGTCACCTTTATTTGTATAGCGCTTTATACAAAACTGGTTGTGTCAAAGCAGCTTTACAGAGTCAAACAGCCTTACTTTGTATAGCCTCACTTTGACGATGTTCTTCATGTACTCAGCATAGCAATATAAAACTAAGCAAGCAACATTATGCCCTGGCACACATTGCTGCAGTTAGGCTATAAACTCAGACATTTGCTCATCACATTATTGCACCATGTTTGGAGAGGATGCAGTGTCACCCTTCAAGATGAAATACTTACTGTGACTTTGAACAACTGTTTATTTATATGAGTGTGTAGAGTGGATAATTGAGTAAAACTCTTCCCACATGGAATGCAGTGATACGGCTTCTCTCTAGTGTGGACCCTCTCCTGTAATTTCAGTTGGCTTGACTCACTGAATCTCTTGTCACAGTGTGAACACTTGTAAGGTTTTTCTCCAGGTGGGAAGTCTCTGATGACATTTAAATTTTTCATCTGTAGTAAAAGTCTTCTCACACTCAATGCACATGTAATTCTTCACACTACTGTGTGTTTTCTGGTGTCTTTTAAAACCACCCAGCCATCTAAAACTCTTTCCACACGAAGAACACATGTAAGGCTTCTCCTTTGAATGAACTTTCAGGTGCTTCTTCAGAGTATCTGCCCCAAAGAAGTTTTTACCGCACTGACCACAGCAAAACTTTCTTTCTCTAGAATAAGAATACATGTGATTTAAAAGCACTTCCATGTTTGAAACTCTTCTTACACTGATCACATGAATATGGCTTCTCTCCAGTGTGGATATTCATGTGGTCTTTAAGGCTTATTTTTTGGTTAAAACTCTTCCCACGTTGATCACAGGTGTATGGTTTCTCTCCAGTGTGGATCCTCTCATGTGCTCTCATGGCTCCTGACTGAGTGAATCTCTTGTCAGAGTGTGAACACAAGGTTTTTTTTATTGTGAGTTTTCTGGTGCCTTTTCAATTCAGTATTTTAAAGGGGTCATATGATGCGATTTCAAATTTTCCTTTCTCTTTGGAGTGTTACAAGGTCTTGGTGCATAAAGAAGATCTGTAAAGTTGCAAAGACTAAAGTCTCAAATCCAAAGAGATATTCTTTATAAAAGTTAAGAGTCAACCACACCTACCTAAAACGGCTCGTTCTAACATGCCCCCACATGTCTACGTCACGATGTGGGAAGATTTGCATAATGCCGCCCAAATGTGCACGCCTTCTTTTGGCGTGGTTCCTGAAACCACGCCAAAGAAGGCATGGTTTCAGGAACCGAAGTAGTGTTGACGCAGCATGTCAGGGAGACGCTGTGTATTTCAGTGCGAAAGCAAAAGCACTTTATTTGGCCTTCCGGAAGTAGATGCAATTAGGAATCATTGGTTAAGATTTATTTACAACAGAACAGCACAACCCAGATGTTTGAATTTGTGCAACGCATTTTATGGACACTATTAATCTGACCCTGTAGACACCATAATCACACACTATCTCTCTCTCTCCCAGTTTTTTTTAATTGTGGGCGTTTACGCAGTTGGCTAGAGCAGTGCTGATTGGGGAGAACGGAGGTGCGCTCACTCTATTGGTTAGTAAGGCTGTATGGAAGCCCGTTTCCGCCACTGAATAAAAAATAAAAGAGGTAATTGCGACTTTTTATCTCACAATTCGGACTTTTTTTTCTCTGAATTGCGTGACATAAACTCGCAATTGCGACTTAAAAAGTCATAATTGCGAGACATAAAGTCGCAATTCGGAGGAAAAAAAGTCAGAATTACGATATATAAACTCGCAATTCTGAGAACATATCAGTCTTTTTCCCCCCTCAAAATTGGACTTTAACTCGCAATTGCGAATTTATATCACGCAATTCTGATTTTATAACTCGCAATTGCGAGTTTATATCTCACAATTCTGAGAAAAAAAGTCAGAATTATGAGATAAAAAGTCGCAATTACCTTTTTAAATTTTTTATTCAGTGGCGGAAACGGGCTTCCATACACCTGGGCTGCGTTCAGCCCCGACAAAAACGGTGCAAAACATCTTTTAAAAGGAAACGGTGGTGCGTTGAACGCCCTGTTCTGATGACGCAAAAGTTGCAACTATGGCAGCTGAGAAGGCCATTCTTTGTGCTCTTTTTGAAGAATTTTCGGAGCCTGATGAAATCGGTATAAATACGTGTTTAATACTGCAAAATACGCTCGATGTTACAGTCACTGCCCTTTCCCTCCAGAATAAAAGAGAACATCCCAATCAAATGAAGGGATTTGTGGAAACTGTGGTTCCTAATTATTGTGATCCCATATTTGCCTCGCATTTCAAGATGAAAAGACAAACATTTCAGGTGAAGGATAATCCACTTCTTACCTCCAAGACTGTGTTATGATCTATATGGCCTTATTATTTTTATTGTGAGTATTAGGCTTATCATTATTGCTGATCACCGTTGTTGTCCTATGTTATTGTAATATTTACCATTAGGCTATATAATCAGAGCAGTATAGAAAAGTTTATGAAAGTGACACTCCATTTTTATGTTACATTAATCAGTGTCTAGCACACCTTCCTAAGGAAAGGATATGGACCAGCAATTACTAAATTATTTAGATAGACTTAAAGAAGTTCCAGATCTATACTTGTGCCCTTATTATTTCAGTTATTTTGCCTTTAATGTAAATACACGCACCCCGTCACTGTAAGCTGGCCTGCCACTCATCTTGGCACAGTTAACATCCTCCACATTTCATTTCATTTAACTTCCTACCGTACTGGAGAGAAAAGATATAGCTCGTTGATCTGCCAGTCGCGGGTCTTTCATGCGGAGAACTCTGCTCATATTTTCTGCATAATGATGCATTTAAAAGTTAACGAACAAATTGATGTTTATAAAGTTCACATCAGAATCAGAATCAGAATGAGTTTTTATTGCCAGGTATGTTTACACATACGAGGAATTTGTTTTCGTGACAGAAGCTTCCACAGTGTAACAGAATGACAGTGACAGAACAAAAAACACAGATAATTAAAATTTTTAATAAAAAAAAATAGAACAAGTAAATAAGGAATAAAAATATACAAATCGACAATTGTGTGTACAGGTATATAACAATAGACAGTTGTATGTACAGGTATATTATGTGCAAATTTAAATGTAGACTGAGTGTGTGTGTTAGATAAATAAATGTATTAGTGAATAAATAGTGTGTGTTCCACAGTTATTGTCAAGTGTTCATGAGATGGATGGCCTGAGGGAAGAAACTGTTCCTGTGTCTGGTCGTTCTGGTGCTCAGAGCTCTGTAGCGTCGACCAGATGGCAACAGTTCAAAGAGGGAGTGTGCTGGATGTGAGGGGTCCAGAGTGATTCTGCCAGCCCTTTTGCTCACTCTGGACGAGTACAGTTCTTGGAGAGAAGGGAGGGTTGTACCAATGATTCGCTCAGCAGTCCATGCTGTTTCCACCCCAGTATTGTGCAAATAGACCCTCTTATTTGAATATTAGTCTCTCACTTCTACACTTGTGTTTGTATGAACCTACTAGATCTTTTTTATTTATTAATTTTATTCTGAATCTGTTTTCTTACAGGAATTTGTTGCAGACGTTCACACTACTCAAGTGTTAAGATTTGAATGTAGGATCCAACCGAACTGTTTATTTATTGTTGTATTGTAGGCTGATGCCATGATTTCTGTCAAATAAAGTAAATAAATGAGCTGTGTTAAAAATATGATAGCATACTTGGCACAACATCAAAAAATATTAATACATTAATAATATAAATATTAATAAACATGAATACTTTTCTGTTCAAGTCTCTTGTGATCTAGCATTCAAACACAAACCAACTCTGCTTGCAAGCTATTCTGCCCCCTACCTTCAGGTTAGATGCACTGCACAGTACATTTATACAAACCGTGAGACAAGAACTATTTCTAATGCAGTAGAGTTGCAACATATTAGCCAATTATCTGGAAACTGTATATATTTTTCTAATATACCCTATTTATTGTCTGTAGCCTACTTTGTGTGCCCAGAGTCAATTTCCTTTTTATTTCTAATGCCAAATATTGTAGTGTCAATAGTTTAAAGGGATTTAAATATCTTTATCATAAGCACTTTTAAGGTCTTAATGTTCACATTTGTAACAATTTCTTATTTAATAATAATTATTATTATTTGGATGCATGAAACCACTTTGGTTTCCGGTAATAATAACCCTGCCCAGGGCATATTTTGACACGATTCATTCTCTAATGCGCTTATAATTTACACACACTACTAATATATCAAGTAAAATATATAGTAGCTATAACTTCATGATTTTGGTTGAGATTTTGCGGTTGTATCGGATCCCTTACTGGCATATGACTCGTGACTATTTTTCACTTTCATTTCAATAAAATAGTGTTTTTTGTTATAGATGGGCTGTTGAAAAGCAGGATTAGGCGCACTAACCCCGATTATTGAGAAAACCCGGTACATCACTATCACTTAACGAATAATACTTTTTGTATTTCAACAACAACAAAATCTGGATTTCTGTTTCCAAATTTAGACCTATCTGAGAGAATTGATTTGTTGTATCTCTTGTTTACAGGCCTGTAAACATGGAGCACCAATTTCTTTTGCTCTTTTTATGGCTTTGTGGTAGGCTAACTGTTTTACTTACGAATGTTTTTCTGTGTTGTGATTTCTTTGGTACCGTTTTGTAAATTGTTCTGGTCTGTTTCAGGTGCTTTAGATGAAATGAGGACCGATTCAGTGATGGAGGGATATCTCAACACTCATGCTGTATAATATTCTTTAACATATACTAATTGAAAGTTTCTGTACTTATTTTTTTTTAACATTCTCTAATCATTTCCAGCTCCCAACTCCTGAAATTATCAGAAAGTATCGACCATGTACAGAAGGATCATTAAGGACAAAGTGTGTGTTGGTGTGTTCAGCGAAGAACGTTCCAAATGCAACTCTAACCTTGTATAACGGAAGCAGTTTATTCTCCATGACTAAAGTTTCTGATATTAACATCGATCCCGTTCTATGTCTGGAGGTGGAAAATAAGGATAAAAACAACTACAGCTGTGTGTTCAACAATCACATCAGCAGCCAGATTACACGTCTCAACATCACGCAACTCTGTCAGACATGTTCACGTATGTGGCATTTATTTACCGACTTCATCTGAATTCTGTCAGACATTTTATTTCACTGAGTTCACCAGTTTGTTTCCTGGTGTTTTACAGTAAAAGCATTTACCATTTAAAGATAAATGGTTTACTTAATTCTCACAAATCTATCAGAATGCAATCAGAATGTTACTCCTCATTCCACCACTGAGATAAATATTTATTATGCTGTTTATTGTCCTGTGATGTTTTATTGCTGAAACAGCTACAACACAGGCACAGGTGTTGGTGATGGAGGGAGATGCTGTCACTCTGGACAGTAATTTTACAGACTTACAGATGGAAGATCAAATCCTGTGGATGTTTGGACCTCGAGAGAGACTCATTGCTGAAATTCTTAATAAACATGTCTACCTATTTGGCTATGATAGTGGGAGGTCCATTGACAGACTCCTGCTTGACAGTCAAACTGGAGATCTCGACATCACAAACACCAACAAAACAATCTCTGGAATCTATAAACTACAGATCAACAGTAAACATTTCAAATGCAGTGGTTTCAATGTCACTGTCTATAGTGAGTAAATTAATAATTTATGAATATACGTAATCATAGTTTTCTTAAAACCTATTAATACATATTCTCCAGTGTTGGGGGTAACACATTACAAGTAATGCTAGTTACATAATCAGATTACTTTTTCAAGTAACTAGTAAAGTAACA